CCCCCCTCCACACCTACTCCTATGAAAGTTTCAGAATATCAAAGATATGTCACTCATAAGTTCATAACCTTAAAAGGCCTGTATATTTCCATCGAGTTGCAAGGCCGATTTGCTTCAGAGACCTCAAAGAAAATTGTAAGAATTAAACACTTTTTAAGCTTGGAAAACAACGATATCTTCCACATAATTAATTTTCCTTGCATTATCAAGGTTTACAATATACCTTTGTAAATAGGCGATGTCGATCTGTAAACGGAAAGTCGCTTGTAATAAAAACAGTGCCATTAAAGGGAGTGACCGGCTAGAGATGGTAGTTGAGCTGAGAATGCAGTATTGTAGATATTTTTTAGGATTCATTTGAGACCTATCAGACGTTTTTACGGTGTATACATTTTCAGCAAGAGCGCAATCTTTAAAATCCTAATCCATCGTCCATTTTGCATTTATGATGATTTGGAAAATCTTTTATAGCTGTATTTTCAATAACGACGAAAAATGTAACAAAAAATCTACAATTGTTTAGGAACATATAAAAAAAGATTACTTATTGTCGAAAATAAATAGTCTTATTCAGATATTTGTTTCTGTAATGTCGCATTGTTCACAAAGATTTTTCGTAGATTTCCTGGATTTTTTAACGGAAAGACGACATTTTAAGAATATCAAGAATTTTGCGAACAAAGAATAAGAAGTTCATTATAAAGATGAAATAAAAATAATTGATTTAACATTGATTTACGAACAAATTTCTATTGAGAAATAAGTTTCTAAACATTTAATTAGTTCTATGCAGAATGTTTGTTATATTTTTTGTCGTCATAAGTCGTTATTGAAATTTTTTTTTAAACTGATTATCCAAAAATATCATCCTTCTAAAATGGACGATCCATGAGGATTTTAAGATTTAATTTGCGCTCTTGCTGATCACATATACACCGTAAAAACGGCTTGTATAGGTCTTAAATGAATCCTAAAAAATTTCTCTACAATATAGCATACTCTGCTCCAATATACCACCTTTATGCTTATAGTTACAGATTTCATAATCAAAAGCTTTAGGTTTTACAATATATATAGATACAGGTTTCAAAATATCAATAGTTACAGGTTTCATAATATTAATATTTATAATTTCATAATATTAATATTTAAAGGTTTCATGATATTAATAGATACAGATTTCATAATATCAATAGTTGTAGGCTTCATAATATTGACAGTTACAGGTTTCATAGTATTAATATTTTAAGGTTTCATAATGTTCATTGATACAGATTGTATTATATTAATAGTTACAGTTTTCAGAAAACCAAAAGTTACAGGTTTCATAACATCAATAGATAAAGCTTTCATAATATCAATAGTTGTAGGTTTCATAATATCAATAGTTACAGGTTTCATTATATTGATAGTTAAAGCTTTCATAAAATCAATAGTTACAAGTTTCATAAAATCAATAGTTGTAGGTTTCTTAAAATCAATAGTTAAAGGTTTTATAAAATCAATAGTTATAGGTTTCAAAATATTAATAGTTACAGGTTTCATAATATCAATAGTTGTAGGTTTCATAAAATCAATAGTTAAAGGTTTCAAAATATTAAGAAATACACGTTTCATAATATTGATAGTTACAGGTTTCATAGTATCAATATATCAATAGTAACAGGTTTAATAATAATAACAGTTTTTTTTTTAACTATTCTTGAACTTATTGAACGTCATGTCCCAATTTTATTTGTAATTAATCTGATCATTTAGAAGAAACTGCAGAGGAACATGGTGACAAGACCCAATTACGGGATTCTAAGAAAGAGGAGCTCTCTGAAGGAATAGAAGAGAATTGTAGAAAAGATGAAATCATTTCCAAACTGAAGAATACACCTAGAAAAAAGTACCCCCCAGGTCACAGAGCTTAAATCTAAATTTTTCATTTATGCCTGGCATTGCAGTTGCGAAACTTTTCGTTTATCTCACCCCCAGGGTACCTGATAATACCTACGGGGTTTCTTAAAAATATTCTAGCAAATTTTGGTTCAAACGTTTTGTCAGCTATAGCCAAGGTTTTAATGCAAGGAAAGTTATTTCAGAGGTGTGCACATCTTTTGAACTGCAGTGTACTGTCTCTGGGCGGTAATGTAAACACAAGACTGACGTCGAAGCCTGACATGGGATTTATTTATCACATAAAAAATCAATGAACTATTCTGGTCATAGGAAACTATTATGAGAATTATCAAAATTATCAAAATTTAATGCTTTTAACCTGAGATCTGGTTTCAATATGTACGCAGAGTATACGCAACAGCAATTAACTTTCCTTGCATTACAACCTTGGCTATAGCTAACAAATATATCGTTATAAGCGAAGATATATAAATATTAAATAGGTCTATAACTACAAGGATTAGACTTGAAAAAGAATGTTAAAAGAACCGTTGACTTGTATTCAAGTGACTCCATTCAAAGAGTGGGAGGTCCGATTCTCAACGTTACCCTTTAAATTTGTGTTTGTTCAAAAGTGCATGGGATATCCAATTAAATACTTGCAAGCCAATAAAACCTCTATAGTCTATATATCTTAAAACTTCTAAATCAGTTAAATGTTAATTTAGTATTAGTGTGAATGTGGCACTCCCTTCTTTACTAGAGAGTCTCTAAGTTTTTTGCTTTTATTTATTTATGAAATTTTTTTTTTATTTTTGGGAAAGACAAATTTTGAATTTTCTGTTTTGTTTCTTTTTGCAACACCAACAGTTTTAAATATGTTTTATGAAACGGTGGGTTGTATTTTTTCAATTGCACTTTTTCAGGACGAATTTTCTACCTCTACACTTCAGGTACTCCTCCTTCAGCCCCCCATCCATCTGTCCGTTAAAAATATATCTGCCTCCAAAAAGTTTCGCTTAATTTTTCTCCAATGAAAACATGATTGTATCCTCATTGCTGTAATGTTCAAAACAGATTTCAAAATAAATTTTTAAGCCATTTTGAGCTTGATTTTAGAACGTAAATAAGAAAATGAAATTTAGTAAAAATTATTATTTTAGAGTTTGATTCATGAAATATATTTAGGGTCAGGGCTATGGTGAAGATTAGTAAACATGGTCCAGAAGCACAGTGGGCTGAGATACTTGAAACTCCAGGTTAGAATATTGAAGCACAGTAGGTTAGGATATTTGAAAGTAAGAGAGACAGTTAGTTATACTGAAGCACAGTGGGCTGAGATACTTGAAACTCCAGGTTAGAATATTGATGCACAGTAGGTTAGGATATTTGAAAGTAAGAGAGACAGTTAGTGATATTGAAGCACAGTGGGCTGAGATACTTGAAACTCCAGGTTAGAATATTGAAGCACAGTGGGCTGAGATACTTGAAACTCCAGGTTAGAATATTGAAGCACAGTAGGTTAGGATATTTGAAATTAAGAGAGACAGTTAGTGATATTGAAGCAGAGGGGTTAAAAGCAAGAAACTCGAGGTAATTTCTGTAACATTCCATCAACAAAACGACATGTTAAGTTTTCTAATATTCCATTTTGGCAACTAAAAAAACTTCTTTACTAGTATAGACAGTCCCAACATTTCACTACTTTTTTTGGCCTATGTGTTTAAAATTCTCAAGTACAGGGTTAACCACAAACAATGAGACTTCAATGATTATCTAAAACTCTTTTTTTAAAGCGATTTTAAAGGTGAATTTCAATGGTGTATTAAAAGATGTCAAAGAAATACACAAGTTTACAGTTGCGGGGAACCGTGAATGTGGCAAAAAAGACGTGAACAAATTCCTATGATCTTCGTAGTCTCATCTGTTTTGGGTAACCCTGTATGATGCATATCAAGCCATTTTTGCCATTTTTGAATGTGGTAATTGGCAAAAAGCTTGATAAATTTGTTTCTATTGTTCCAAAAATAAATTAAAAAACTTAAATTTTAGGAATGAAAAATATTGCTCCTCTTAAACGCCTGAAGCCCGGCTGGACGATGGGAAATATTGTGTCTAACGGTGAAGACAAATCCAACAATATTATCTACTTTGTCCGAATACAATCTGAAGCAGGGGTGTATATTTTCTTGAAAAATCATTACAGCCCCCCCCTTTAAAAAATCATTTCCCCCCTAAGTTTATTCGCTGGATTCAGAAAATGAATGGTTTTAGAGGAAAATAAGTTAATTTTTGGGTAAAAAGTATCTGCAAGAACGAAAAACGTACTTTTTGATGTCCAATTTTAATTTATTTCCGGATATGATAAAATATCGTTTCCCCCTGAAAATTATAAAAAATATACACCCATGATTTGAAGATGTTGAAGGAAACAATTTGTTTCTGCACAGCAGAAACCTGCCATGTACAGATCAAATCTTTAAGCTGCAGTACGGTACAGAGATCTACTTCAAGGTAGGGGATTAAACTCATTTTAGGGCGCATTCAGACCTATGACACTGCGTTACACTGTACAATACATTGTATCATTTCGGGCCATAAAAACATAATTTGACATTTCGGGCCATAAAAACATAATTTGAAAAAAAAAACCTTTATAATTATCAACTGCACGGAGGAGGGGGGGGTCACAATACAGTAATTGATTGTTACCTACAGGGTTACCCACTAAGGATGAGACTTTAAGAGACAACTGAGCAGAATTTATCTTGTCAGTTTTCTTATATTCATGGTTTTTGCAACTGTAATCTTGCGTCGTTATTGGCCAAATTATTGAAAAAGCCATTGCAAGACACTAAAATCAAGGCAGTAGACTTGATTCAACCTAGCTTAGAATAATCATTTTTCAGGCAGTCTTTTCAGTATCATCCTTTTGAGTAACCATGTACAATGTAAATAAATGCTTGAATGTGTTGACCGTAAATAAACAGGGTGTCACACATAACATGACAGTTTGTAAATAGTTTAGAATGTCTTCTTCCAGAATTTCTTAAGTTGTTTAATACCAAAGACAATAATAGAAATATTATGTAGGAGTCATATTATTGTAAAATAGTAAAATATATTTGAGCAAAAGATTTTTTTAAGGAAAAAACTCCAAACAGCCTTTAATATCTAATACAGTGTATGGAAGACGACATTTAAAACTATTTACCAACTGTCATCAATAAAAGTTTCAAGAGTACCGTTGTGAATCGGGCATGTCCCTTCTTTTAATGCAAGGTCCTTTTAAACTATATTTTAATTACTTAAATAAATAAAGGAAAGAGAGCGTCAAAGTGGAGACTGTAAAGAGATTGGAGAGGTGGAGATAAACAAAAGAGTTTATAACCTGGAAGAACTCTTCTCCAGGATAGAGGAGAAGGTGGAGGAGTGTAAGAAAGAGGTTGAGATAACTCCAGTTCTGCTCTCTACTCCAGCCTGGGAGTTTTTAGGTTGGAGATTAATCAAATCTATATATATTATATACTTTGCTTGTCTGTCTGTCCGTTTGTATCCAATAAACGTCAAAGGGCTGAACCGATCCGGCCCAAATTTTTTGTGTGAACTCACGTGACCCAGGGAAGGTTTATGGGTGATAGAATTTTTTAAAAATTTACTCCATCAAAATTCTATTTTTAAAAATTTGAAAATCCACGATTTTTTTATAAAATCCGCGGATTTTTTGTTTTTGTTTGTTTTTCTTTTACAATGTAAACAAAGAGAACGTGTAAATTGAATTGGAAGCTAAAAGCCTGAGATGGAATTTAAAGAATTTGAGCCGCGGTTTAAATCCTCCAAAACCCGGTTTAAATTAAGCGCCGGCTTAAATCTTGAAACATTTGATACAATTTGAACTGGAACCAACCATATTTAAACCGCGGCTTAAATTTAAACCGCCGCTCAAATTCTTTAAATTCGGCCACTGGTTATTTATATTAGTTCCCAGTAATGATTCTTCTGTTCAAAAACATATAGTCATTTTTCTCAAAGAAAGAGCCTTTTTTTTCTTTTATCATTTTTTTCAGTTCTCGGCTAATTGTTGCAAATATAAAACATTTTTCCATTTTTTGAACAAAATTGTGACAATATTAAATCCCTGATATTTACATTGCAAACATAGGGATGCAATCTAATTGATTGCAAATTTGTATGCCAAGAAGTTGCGGATTTACAACTCCAAGTACATTAATTATGTTTGATTTTTGAAATCAAAAACATGTGTTACAAAGCTTAACAGATTCTTTAGTTTTTAAAACCTGAACAAGGTTGATTTTATGTAAATTAAAATGTTACATTTTGTTTAGAGTAGAAAAACTCCGTAAAAAAATGAAGTTGAAAAAATTGTACACATCTCTTCAGTCACAACAAGGATGCAATAAATACATATACATTTCTAGGTTCAAGGTTGACGGTGGAGAACATGAAGAGGTTTATCTCTTTACAAAGACGATTATTCTCCATGAGATTAATCTCCACGAAGCTCCTCCACCAAGTTCTAGAGGTGTCCTGTTCAACCTTGATATTCAACCCTAGATCAGGGATCATAAAGGTAAACCTCATCATTCAATTTAATTCGTTGTCTCTGCTGTCTTCATTTCCTTTCAAAGTAGTGCCTGTTTATCATTTTAATTGTTTTTCTTTGCATATTTTTATCATAAAATTTGTCATAGTGAAATGAAAGCAAATGTTTTTGATATCTTAACATGTGCTTACACTGGCAAATTTTTACCCTGATAGAAAATATATGCAAAACAATGAATGATAGTTTTTGGTTCGTTTTCCCATTTTATTAAGGATTCACACATTGTAAAGTTTAATAAAGCAAACCTCAACAGAATAAAGTTTTGAAATGTTGGAAGTTTTATTTTAAAATGTTAAAAGAAATAAACCAGAACAATTCACAACACTATGTCCTATAGTCACTTTTAATGGGAAACCAAAACTGAAAATCATCCTTACTAACTAGATAAATAAAGGATATCGTAGTTATTCTTTATTAGACAAAGGTTTAAAGGGTATGGGTGTGAATCAAATAAAGAAGTGGATTCTGTCCCTTTCACACGGGCAGCCGTAGTAGATTTGAATTTCCTGCCGGGTCAACCTTTCCGGTCTCAGTTTGTACTGTATCGCCCGGACATTGGGTAAAAAAAGCAGACACTCAATAGGACTAGCCGGTGCAACACGGTTGACGCGGTCAGACTAGGTTGAATTTACTTTTACTCAAGGGTCAGAGGTGCGTGTTCACTGTTCATGAGCATTTTCTTTTTTGATACTAATATTCTTAATTGATATAGTCAAGGGATGAAAAACTCACAAGACTTTTTCTTTCTGAAACCCCAGAATAAGTAGTGACTCATGTTTACATAAACATGTACTTGTTTATTTTCTCTGACATCAGCAGGATTATTTTGATAACAGTTTTTCTACATAACAAGTATTGTTTTTATGATAAATCGAAAGATAAGCGTCTTATGATTTAAAATACGAATTTGCAAGATAAATTAACCTAAAAATATAACCTTCTATTGAATTTTTAGTACTATAAAATTTATACTTTAAGTAGTAATCTCTGGTTGTTTGTTTGTCCGATTATAACTCAAGAACTCCTGGACGGATTTGCTTCAAATTCTTATTGGGGGACTCGGTATAACCACGGGAATGTTGTTAGGCCGACTAGGAAAACTAAGTTTCCAGGCAGAGCTGGGTACCCAAGTTAGTTTTTAAATAGAACTTTTCAGAGCTTATACAGACAAGTCCAGGGATAGCCTTTGTTACACAGAAAGGATAAGTCAAGAGTAGTCCTTGCTATGCAGATAGGATATGTCAAGGGTAGTCCTTGTTATGCAGATAGGATATGTCAAGGGTAGTCCTTTTTATGCAGATAGGATAAGTCTAGGGTAGTCCTTTTTATACAGATAGGATAAGTCTTGTTATGCAGGGGTATTCTTTGTTTTATTGATAGAACAAATACAGAGATAGAACAAATATAGCAGTATTCTTTATTTTACAGAGAACAAATCCAGAGATAGTCTCTGTTTTACAGATAGAACAAATATAGCAGTAATCTTTGGTTTACAGACAGGAAAAGCCCAGAAAGATTCTTTGTTTCAGCTCTTTTTTAACTTTAAAAAATATTATTTCATTTTAAGTTATGCGGTTCTGCTTTTCAGCTTTTCTCTTAATTGAAAAAATTGCATAATATTATAGTTGTTTCCAATAGTTTCCGTTGTCATTTTCATATCTTTGCTTTTGCTTACAAAACAAGTAGAAGACAAACTCCTCGTCTCCACGTGAGACCTAAACACAGACTTTATATACACATACTTTTCATAAGCACTTACGGGATAGGCTAAGTAGGCCTATAGTTGTCCCAGCACGACATGCTACATTTCCATGAAAGGTTTTTGACTGCCATCTTATGGCCACTTCTTGCAATACCTGTTTAGGGGTTAAGGTTTACAATTCTTCAAGAAAAACTTTGACTTTTAACAGAAATTTATTCTATTTTTGAAGGTTTTGTATTATGTATCCAAAGGACCCTTATATATCCCAGAATACATACGTCTTGTCGTGTACTCCAGTTGTACACGATGGAACCTGCTNGATAGGGTTAATAGATCTCCGCATTCTCTCATCTCTGGACTTAACTCTCAACAGCTTGTTTTTGCTCTCTAACATTACTTTTAAATCTATGCAGATGTTACACAATATGGAATAATTAAAAATAATAAGAAATAAAAAATGAACCATTAGAATTGCCATCCTGCACCCCTCCTAGTTTTTGATACGTTTCCCCTAGGAACCCAAACAATTTTGTTCCCCTTAAGGAATTGAGTCTTTGCCGCAAACTCTGATTTTCTAAACCTTATATGTTTGCAACCCAATGTCGTATATCTTAGATATTTCAAACTATGAATTCTGTTAGACTAATTAACCAAAGTTTGAAAAATCATTAGTCTATACCATTAGGTTGCAAAGATATAGGGATTAACAAATTTGAGTTCTTGGCAAAGACTCATTTCCTTTGCTCATTTTTTCTAATTCGTCACGAAAATAAAACCTCCTGATAACCTGAAAAGGTTATATTTCAAAAATGATTGTTTTTCTTCAGAATCCCCCATATAGTGCAATGATGCATGTATGTGTTTACCATGCCTACCTATGCTTTTTTTAAGTTCAGGCTGTTGAATTTTTACATTTTCAGGTTATTGAATGATAAAAGTTATTTTTCTATTTCGCTAAATAAACTGTGATCATTAAATATTTTATTAACGCTTAAATGGCATTTATTAACTAGAATCGTTCAAAAGAAAAGTTTGTAATTTTTATATTTATTTGTAAATGTTACGATAAAAATATCTGTGAACATGTTTAAGGATCGAATTTGATGAATTGGAGAGGTCGCTGAACTTTAACTTTGAATCCGAGATTCAATATTTGAACCGGTGCGGCAATCAGCGACCTAGTTTAAAATCATTAAATATGGTCCCAAGGCTCATTTTCCATGTTAAACAGTTCACAATTAAAAAATCTTCATTGACCGTGGACGTTTTAAAAAAAAATTGAACAAGACGACTTTTATTTCTCTTTATTCTGATAATTGTGTATATTAAGGAGTACATACACTATACAGTCTTCGTCGTACATATCAATACATACAGTCTTCGTCGTACATATCAATACATTGAAGACGACTGTCTATTTTAACTTGGATTTTTACCATCCCTACAAACAGCAAATGATACACAAAAACATGGAAACAAAGAGAATCTGTCAATTAACAGCTTCTTTTTGTATACTTACAAAATTGTTATATGAAAAAAGCGTCATAGAGACCAAAACTCACAGGAAAGTCGTCTTCATTGTATTTTTTTTCATTCTGTAATTTTGAATATATGTTCAGGAGTATATAGAGGGGTTGGAGAAGGATGAAGACCGTGTGGAGATATTTGAATATTTTCATGAATTAATGGAATATATTCCTCAGATTTCAAGCAGTATTATTCAGCTTATACAGGTCAATTTTTTATTTTATACTACGAATTTAAAGAATTTGAGCTAGGTTGCTAAACTACATACCGTCGTTTCAAATACTTGTCTGCAGTTTTGCAGTGCTGTTTGAAACTTATTTGAAAGAAGGACGGTATTATACTTACCGGCCTCAAACTACCTCGAATACTGAAACTATACGGGGCGTGGCAAAGGTAGGACATTGGATCGTTGATTCAGAATTTGTCAATGTCCTACTCGTGATGTAACCAACTAAACTACATGTAGATTAAAATTGGAGAACTACAGATACGTGTTTAAATCGACGGTAGGTTGTTAGGTGAACTAGCTTGAATGCGTTAAATTTGGTGCCAGGTCAAGCAGGTCCCTGTTCCTAATATAGGTAATAAAGAAAGTTCCTTTTTTGCGCGCTATTCCTTTTTGGCGTTTTTTTTTAAATTGATAATTTTCTATTTTCTAAGCTTCAGAGAATAAACTTAAACTTGATTTATATTTAAATTTGAAGTGGGTGAAGGGAGAGTGGTTTATTTTTTAAGAATATTCTCCCCTGTAAACCTACTTTAGGCTCTAAAATAAAGATGTGGAAAAACTTTATTTGTAGGTGTTCACTGGACGGAAAGTAGAATCCCCCCTGGTTTCTGTTTACTATCAGATGTTGAAGAATATCACGAGAAATTATATGAAAGAGCTTCAAATACAGGCAAACAGTAAACTTCTATAATCAAGATTCATTGTAAAGGAAATTTGCAATTTTTTCGAATTTTCTACTTTTCAAAAAAGTTAATAATCCGTTAAAATGAGGAAGCTGTTCTCCCTTTTACTTAAGAATTGTCACTAAAAATTTTGTAAAAATGGTATCTCCAGAAATGTTAAGAAATGTATTTTTTGTTTGAATAGTTCAGTAACAAATTACAAACACCCAACACGCCATTTAATGATTAAAAGAAATAAGAAGCCGACGATAAATCTGTTTTTTCTTTTTGACATTTCTGATATTTTTGTTTTAATTTCTGAAATGTTTCTGTTTGAATAAGACTACCTGTTTCCTGGACTACAGCCAGCTGCCACTAATCCCAACACAAGAAGAGATATTCTCCCATACCAATATAATGTTCCAGGTGAATCCCATTATTAAAGATATTCTCCCAAACCAATATAATGTTCCAGGTGAATCCCATTATTAAAGATATTCTCCCAAACCAATATAATGTTAAAAGTGAATCCCAATATTAAAGATATTCTCCCAAACCAATATAATGTTAAAAGTGAATCCCAATATTAAAGATATTCTCCCAAACCAATATAATGTTAAAAGTGAATCCCAATATTAAAGATATTCTCCCAAACCAATATAATGTTAAAAGTGAATCCCAATATTAAAGATATTGCACATTTTATTGGATTAATTAACGGGCTCGTTTTTGGATGATTATGTGAAGACGATTTTTGATTTCAATCTTATTCATAACTTCTCACCTTTGGTAATTTCGAAATGTTTGTTCAGAGCAATCTGTCCCCTGTGCGACCCTTCAGCCCCTACCCGGACGAGGAGGACTACATGGAGGTCTACTTCAGGCTGCAGAGAACTGACGGGTTCAATGCCATTATCAAGGGGATCAAGTAAGTGATGTTTAAATACAAATTTAGCATTTCTAGGAAGTTGGAGTTTTAAGCTTTTTTTTACTTTTTAATTGGGTAGTGTACTTTTCACTTCCTTATACCCATAAAACTGTGGAATAGAAAGACGACTGTTGGAACTTAATTTATAATACAACTTGTTTAGTGTATACAGCACCATTAAACTTCAAAAGTTAGGTTGAGCTCAAATGCTGTTAATCCCTGTTTGGTTTAACATGATAACATGGCAATCCATTTTATGTTTCTGCATTCATAAATCGTGAACACTTCATTCAATCTTGATTACTTTCAGAGATTTCAACGAAGGGAAACTGGATCATAGAGACATGAACGTGTACGAGCAGGTTTACCTGCGAGGTATAGCAACTCAGCAGAACGGATATGCATTCCTGCTTCAAGTCCAATCTATGCGGAAAGTTAAGGTACTATCAATTTTTTTCTAAAGAGTTTTGTTAAATGTTTAAAATTTGATGTGTGCCGATTTTGTTAGATATTAAGATTAGGTTTTTTTATCTAAAACAGTTACAGGTGGGTACTCATCAGTTAAGTCACTGTCAATGTTTACAATTTTCAGGAAAGGTTTGATTTACAGCTAGAATCAGAAAACCGTGGAATAGGAAGACGACATTAAAGTATTTAAAAGTGTACTTGATGTTGTTACAAAGCAAATAGTTTTATTTGTTTTTATTAACTCACCTATTGCAAAAATGATGTGTTACAAATCCATTGGACTAATTAAAGTGGATTTCCTATTCCAGAGTTTTCTGGTACACACTTAGGTGCCAATATTTTAATGGTTGAAATTCTTTATCTTAATCTATCTCATGTCTCACCCTGTAATTAAATACAAGTGTAGGACCTGAGTAAAACTAAGTTTCTGTTGACCGGAAACCTGCTCTGCCTCTCAATAGAGGGAGATTTCTCAGATGCCATCTGGGCAAAGGTAGATTTTATTATTTTTTTAAACTTTTCATTTATCATAAGATATTGTCATTTTCCCTTGCTTGCTTTTTTCTGCTACATAACTTTTAAAGCTAGATTAATTCATTTGTAATTTGTATTTATTCATTTACAATTGTTTGCTAATAATGAACACTGTGCATTAAATCATCTAGCTTTTGATTTGAACTAACACTTTACTCAAAACATTGCCCTTATATCTTTGAAACCATTACTTTAGGGATTTTAAGTTAACACTTGAACACCTAATTCTTGAAGTTTATTACTCTCCGGAAAATTTAAACAGTGGTTAAACATAACTTAGAATTGTCGTAGGAGGCTGATTTTTTGCATGCAAACTCAGAATTATGTATATCACATGCATTTTTTGGTTTTGAAGGAATCTGAGCAAAAGTGGGCGCGCGCGCGCTTTTTGTGAAGCTTCGCGCCCATCTACGAGTTTAACTTTTAATTGTTGCTCTTCTATCGATATTTTTTTTGGAAAAAAAGAAATCTTTAAAAAGCTAATTTTTTAATTCTGTCCATCTATAAACCTTCCCTTGGGTCATTGGAAATCCCGAAGAAAATTTGGACCCGATCAGTTCTATGGTTTTGACGTATGGGTTTTAACTTAGATTTTAATTTTATTTGTTTCTTTTTATCATTTTTTTCGTGGATTTTAATAAATTGTTTATTCTGATCATCCTTAAACCTTTCCTGGGGCCATTTATTGGTTACATACAAACAGACAAGCAAAGTATATATCTTTTTAACCTTTACATTTTGACACCAAAACATACATATATATGCTCTAATAATAGACTGTGACTACTATGTGTTCTTAGTAGAATATTTTAGGATAATTATGGTTGAATCTCCTAACTTCTACAAAGCATATGGCCCAGTACTAGCTGCTTTACAGTCCTATAACATGAAAGATCTACCAATAAAGGATACTGTTGTTAGGTAATATTAATATTGATTAAATAATTAATATTAAAATTGATATTAATTAATAATATTACACATTTGAATATTTAAGTAAACATGATAATGCAATACAACTAATTGCACATCTAAGTTCGTAAGTTTCATTCAGTTCGGTGCTAAAAGGCATCTTAAAAAGAACCGTTATCGTAATTCCAAGTAGCATGTCATTTAGAGAAGTGCATGCTCAATTCACAACGGTACCCAATGTGGATGAAATTGTCGATTTTCTAGCTTAAAAAGTGCTTGATTCTGAAAATTTGCTTCATCGTTTCTTGATGCACAAGCCATTTCATAGAGAAATGACAACTTAAAATAATCCAATTATAAAAGAGAAGGTGTTGGATATCTTTTGATCAGACAAAGCTCTGTAGGGTACTTTTGTGAATAGAACATGGCACTTCATAATTGGTTGGTCACTTCTTAAATCCCTGTAATGTAGAAACTAAAGGTTTGCATTTAAAGGACTATGTGTTATTCAAAATGACCCTAGCAATGATGGCAATGTCCGATTTAAAATTCGGTGATGGTGATGGACCAAACCTCTGTAGAGAAAAAAAAAGTAGATGTTAGTTCCACATTATATTGAAAATATATTTCGGTCTAGGTTGATCCTTGTCAGTTCTAATGATATATAATCATCAAAATCAATGTTAAAACCCACAAGAAAATATACAAACCAAAAGATTAAATTGTTTTTAAATGGGCTGTCAAATGGACAAAAGGGAAACGAACTCAGATGGAAAAAAAGATTATTTTGAAAGGAATTAAGTCTTTGCCACAAATTCAGTTTTTGTAAAACCTATATCTTTGCAACCTTATGATGTAAACTTTTGATATTTCAAACTTACATTATTTGATCTAATTATAGCATTCATAGTTTGAAATATTAAAGGACTACGACATTGGATTGCAGCGATATTGAAATTAGAAAATCAGATTTTGTGGCAAAAACTCAGTTCCTTTACTTTTTGGAAGAATGTTTTAAGAAAGTTATTATTCCTTGTTTCTGTCATGAAGATAAAAACAAACTGTTTAGTTTATATATAGTGTATAAAGTAGTGGTGGGGGTCGATCTAATCAACGAGCTTTTACGTAAATCAGGGCTCCCCCTGATTTACGTAAAAGCTTGTCTTAGGAGGGGTATTTAAACCTTTTAAAGAATTGGAAATAAACAATACTCTTTTAAAACTAATATTGAATGAAAACTAATCTTTTTCTGTTCATTCCTGTGAGTTCAGTCATAAAATCTCTAATGTATTTAGATTCTCGTACTTCTCGTAAACTTCTCCAAGGTCCCAAACCTTCTCTAGTACGCTAACTTTTAGATGGTAGAGTTCAGGAAGGTTAAAATGTTCTCTTGTAGGCTGGTTTGTATGGAGATTTCTAATGTAACCAATATGTTCTCTCACTCTTTCATCTAAAGATCTTGTTGTCTGTCCTATATATTGTAGTTTACACTGTTCACATGTAATACAGTAAAGTACATTTCTGGTCTTACAGTTGAAAGTTCCATTAATCTCAATCTTCTTGCTGGTATTAGAGGATTGTATATAACTGTTCCAGGCTCTATGTAGGGACAAGTTGAGAGTCCACAATTGAGTCCACAATTGAGTCCACAATTGATGAATTGTAATCCCTGCTGAGAAGAAAATTCGTACAATTCTCTATGTATGTAAATAATGTATGTTGTTAGAGATATGTGCTGAGTGGCAAGATGATAGAAGTAGGTACATACATCTATCTGTGGGTTTTCTGTAGAGATCTAGTATGATTTTTCCATATTCAATGTACAGTTTTGTGTCAAGGAATGGAATACTTTTTGTTCTGTGGCACCAACAGTCATGTTCATCCTTTAAACCACAATAAAATGGAGAACTATGTTCTAGAGTAAACTTGATTGTAGGATGAAATTTGTTGACATCATCCAGGAATTGAAATAATTTATCAATAGAATCTATCCAGATTCCAAAACAATCATCCAGAAATCTTTTCCAGATCTTCAGGGGGCACTCATCAGTTCGTTTGTATGTATTTGGAAGTTTCACAATTTGGTCATCAAGCTTAGCCATAAAAATGTTTGCATAGGAAGGGGCTGGATGTATTCTCATTGCTGTTCCTATCAATTGTTTGTAAAGTTTCATTCTCTTTACAACGTTACCCCCGAAACCTTAATCTGATCAATAATGTGGAAGATATTATCGTTTGAAAAGTTTTTTATTTATTGTTAATTCTGTAAGACAAAATTAAAAAAACAGTTTTAAAAATTCTAAACATTGACAACTAATTCATACTAAATCAGACAAAGCTTTTAAGGGTATTCTTGTAAATTGAGAAATCTTTGCAAAGTCACTGGAATTACGCTTACAATTTCTTAAAACCGTTATTTCTATATTTTAGATGTGAGAACAGTGGTCCTCCATTGAACCTGGAGTCCAACAGAATAATACTTGATCCGTTTATTGAACCTGACTCTAATCTCACATCTGGAGAACCATCAGTTTCTCCGGATGATCTTGAATTTGTCAATACGTCATCAGATTCTTCTGAAGATTCTTCCGAAGATTCTTCACAACCCACAGTCGCTTCAACAGTAAGGCCTAGAAATAGGTTGAATCCGCCAGCCAAACCTATTTCTTCATTACCGAAGTTAAAGCGCTCCAATATTCCATTTATCTCATCAAACAACCTCAAGCTCAAGGTATATAACTTAATTTAATCTGAAGAAATTGAGTTTTTGACAGAAACTAAAGTTTTCTAATCCCATCGGTGCAAACCTTTTTTGTTTCAATCTTCGATTATTTGATCTAACAGAATTCATAGTTTAAAATATCTGAAGTCTACGACATTGGGTGGCAAAGATATAGACTAAAAAGAGATCAGAAAATCAGATTTTGTTACAAAGACTCAATACCTTTGCTATTTCCATTTAAAGAAATATATGACCATTTGCTGTGTGACCAGTGACTATGACCAGCTTGTAATATGTACATTGTACAGTTCAGGGTATATATTTTCTTGGAAAATTGCCTGAACTTTTTTTCCTAGATGTTCGATATGTTTTTTAGGGTTTTATTTTTTTGCGTTCTTTTTAAGCGTCCCCAGTTAAAAGGACTCATAAGTGTAATTTCAAGTGACCCTTCATGTCCGATTTACAACGGTACCTTTGACACCTTCAACTGATCAATGTTGTGGCACGTATTCTACAAGGTGTCCCAATAAACATGGGAATTCAGTGATGACTTTTATATCGTCTTTGATCCATGCGGCAATTTTTCATGAGCACAATTATTGCAGTATGCCAGCTTAAACATCTAATATCGAAAATGCCTGGTCTAGACATTTTCAAAATGGGTCTACCATTTTTGTATCTTTTTGGGAATTTGGACAAATTTCAATTTATTAATAAATCAAAACAGCCTTAATATCTAATATCTTCGTCAATGTTTAAATTACAAGAAAAGTATATAGAGTAGAGACCTCTTTATGAAAAGCTTGTCAGACATTCAGCCTTGTTTTTTTACTTTCTTTGCCATGCCTTAAATATTAGACATCAAAGACAACTTTCAAGTCGTCTCTCAATTCCCATGTTTATTGGGACAACCTGTACAAAACACGCTTTTATTGTTAAACACTTTGTTTGAAAGCTTTTTAAAAAAATGTTACTATTTACTTTCTAGAATTGGCAGAAAATTTATATTTCATATTTTTGGAAACCGTTTTTAGAGTACAATATTAGGTAATGTCCAGATCAAACTGTACACAATGTACAACGTGTTTTAGAGGGACCAAACTGTACACAATGTACACCGTGTTTTAGAGGGATCAAACTGTACACAATGTACACCGTGTTTTAGAGGGACCAAACTGTACACAATGTACACCGTGTTTTAGAGGGACCAAACTGTACACAATGTACACTTTAAGTATATATAAAGCTATATGACGGTCTCCAAGAAGGTGTTGTTCTAGGCGCTGCAGCATGTTCTGAAGAACCGGGTGAGTATCATCCAGGGTCCTCCCGGAGCAGGGAAAACTTTCATAGGAACCAAGATACTAGAGATACTGCTCCGACTTGAGAAACCATCAACCCGACCCATCCTGGTAATCACGTATAAGAACCATGCCCTGGATGAATTCCTAGGTGGTCTCCTGGACACTCATGCAGTGTCTAAGTGGAATATGGTGAGGTAAGTCCACACATTGATCCCCCCCCCTCCTCCTTTTAGGAAAATACTTATTGAAGATTGAACTCCATACTGGCAAAATGCCTCCGTTTTCCCCTTAAAATAGATTTTTCCAACTCGCCGTAAAAATCCCCTGAATATATTTATTAAAAGGGAGTGACCGGCAATGTATAGTAGTTGAACTGAGAATGTAGTGTTGTGAAGAAATTTTTTAGACATATAAAACTTTTAATGATGTATTGTATAATTACTGAGTTTGAGCGCAAAGTTGACATTCAAAATCATCCATTTGGTTGTTTACGTTTTGAGAATAGACTTTTCAAAAATTATTAAATAACGACGACAAAAAAGTAAATAAAATTCTACTGTTAACTAATTAGATGTTTAGGAACATATTTCTCAATAGAAATTTGTTAATAAATCGTCGTTAGAATCATTATATTGAATTTCTTATTCTTTATGAATTTCTTCGCAGATTTCTTCATATTTGGAATATCGTCTTTCAATAAAAATTCCAAAAATCTACAGAAAATGATTGTGTACAATGAGAGAATACAGAAACCTATAACTGAATAAGAGTTAATTTTTATTTTCTCAACCTGTTCCTACACAATTAATATGTTTACTGATTTTTGTTACATTTTTTGCCGGCATTCCTATTTCCCTCCCTCATACCTCATCTTCTCCTACTAACTTATCTTTCTTTTGCTTACATTTTGTGATGAATTATTTCAAATGTGTATTTGAGTATAGGGCCTATCATTTGAAATAGCCTTTATCGGCTAGATAGGTCCTGAATTATGAATTGTATGTAAGTAAATGTTAATCATTAATCGAAAAAAATTAAAAAATAATAAAAAATATTAGACGCGTTGAAGACGATATTTCCAAATCTTCTATAGACGTTTTATTAAAAGTTTACAACCCCGAACAACTAAGCTGTTATCAAGGATCGGTGGTAAATGTTCCGATCATCGGCTGGAGGATTGTCGGATGTATAATGTATTACGAAGAAAGGAGTATGTAGGACGACACCAGATCAACGAGATGAACGATCAGATCGCCCATCTTAACAAAAGGCTGCATGAGGAAATATCCAGGTACAACCCTAAAAACGTAAAAAGTCGTCTTTATTACACCGTATAATAATAAATCGGCGTAAATATTTACAAATTTTAAAATCTTTAGATAAAGGGTTATCCACAACGAATGAGACTTAATGACGACCTAAAACTTTTAAAATTTGTCGATCTGCATTGATTTGCCTAGCTTGAATGTGCTTTTGTGCCTAGAAAAAAGTCCCTCAATGGAATACTTAACGATTTAGCATAGAGAAAACGATTTAGTATAGAGAAAACTATTTAGCATAGAGAAAACAATTTAGCATAGAGAAAACGATTAAGCATAGAAAAAAAACGATTTAGCATAGAGAAAACGATTTAGCACAGAGGAAACAATTTAGCATAGATAAAACGATTTAACATAGAGAAAACAATTTAGCATTGTAAACGATATAGCATTGAGAAGACGATATAGCCTAGAGAAAACGATATAGCCTATAGAAAGCGATTTAGCATAGAGAAAACTATTAAGCATAAAGAAAACGATTTAGCATAGAGAAAACTATTAAGCATAAAGAAAACGATTTAGCATAGAGAAAACGATTAAGCATAGAGAAAACGATTCAGTATAGAGAAAACGATTTAGCATAGAGAAAACGATTTAGCATATTGTGAAATCCGTGCTAATCTTTGCTTTCTTTGAAATCATCATTGTAGGATACTGGATCCAACTAAAAATAGTAAAAATATATCTAATTCTGTTGTTGTCCTAGGAGTCGACATTTTGAATTAAATACAATGAAGATGACTTTAGATTTAGATTTTTATCCATACATCATCAAATAATTTTTCTCACTTGTGAATCGGTCATGTAAGTCTTTAAAGAAGGGTCATCGAAATACCACTAACAGTCCCTTTAATTAGGTTTCCTGTCGGGTTGAAGTTGGCTGATATAGTGTTTTATATGTCTGATATAGATATATATAATATACTGACTGATTCCAATACTAACGAGGACATGATCCGTATCATACAGAGAAATATATGGCAGACTGGAGCAACCATGCAGGATATGATTTTAGGTAAACATATTAATACAGGGCTATCCATCAAGCATCATATTTTCATGACGATCTAAAATTAAATATTACGATTGAAAGGTTCTTCAATATTAAATCATGTGACAGTTGACAGAGTATGTAGAGTCGTTTTTAAATGTCATTCTCTATCTAGCCATCTCTCTTGTTCCCTTCTTATATACAGAGTGTCGTACGAAACATGACAGTAGCAAGACGACTGATTTTTGTCGGGTTTGATCTTAAAAATAATTTGCGACATTTATTTATCCAAATTTTAGAAGTATGATTCTAGAATTAATTATCACAAAGTACCCCTAGAGGTGGTATTTCCAAAATGTGGTCCGCCTTTTATTTACTATCAATACTATCGGAGGTATGAAGAATTTCCTTAAGATTTCAACAATTTTGGTTTTATTTATAAATTTGAAATCTGGACGAAATTCTTAATATCCCCGGTAATATTGACAGCACAAAAAAGGCAGACCACCTTTTTGAAATGCCAGAACTAGGATCATTTGGTGGTTATAGTTTCAAGAATCATTAATATTAAAGTAGGTTGATGACTGAATGTCACAAAAAAATCAAAGATGAAAAACGACTTTCATGTCGTCTTGCTACCATCATGTTTCTTGGGACACCCTGTATATCCGGCCCATTTGATTTTATTTTACCTTAAATTATATCATTTCATCTTAAAATATATCTGGATTTAAATCCATACATTTCATGATCAGAGGGGTCTTTTGTAAGGGTCTGTAATTTTAAACGTAATTTCAATCGGCTCTATTTATAAATGGCATTTCTGATTTTCAACGGTACCCTTGAAAGCTTGTCCAAGAATGAATTAGATATTAATGTTGATAGTTTCAATTGTGGTGTCTTTACAAAAGTGACTTCCACATTGCACATTTATACTGCAGGAAAACAATTTAGGAAGTATTAGATAGAATTAAGTACTTTTTATGGTAGAAAAACGACATTATCTTCCACATTATTAATCAGGTAAAGGTTACAACACTCTAGGATGCCGAGTCCATCAGCACCTGATCCAATCAGGGTTCAGCCATGTGTTTGTTGTCTATTCTGAACCATCTATCTTTATCTCTAGCTCATTATCCAATTAGGGATAAATCCTGCAATCGGCGCTTTAACAGTATGTGTAAATATTTACCTATACTGAATTATAGTGACAAGAGTACCGTTTGGACTCAGACATGCCCCGTTTTTAGATTACAACAACAGTCCCTTTAAATCGTTTATAAAATTTGCATAAAATGTTAATTTTTGTTTGAAGAAAGTCCTCCGGACAAGAAGCTATCGAGTGATTGGAGGGAAATCAAAAACAAATTCTGGAATTGGATTCCATCGAACATAGATTTCAGGTTATTATGAAGATTTTGATTTTGATTTTGATTTTGATTTTGATTTTGATTTTGATTTTGATTTTGATTTTGATTTTGATTTCGGTTTTGGTTTTGGTTTTGGTTTTGGTTTTGGTTTTGGTTTTGGTTTTGGTTTTGGTTTTGGTTTTGGTTTTGGTTTTGATTTTGATTTTAATTTTGATTTTTATTTTTATTTTGATAATTATTGAAATTGAATTTGTTGTGTTTAGTCGGTTTGCGAACCATATTGGAAAGATGAAACAGAGTCTGACTAAGATTCAGTTGATCAGGGAAACACAGAAGAACATTGAGGAGGATAATGTTGAGCAGCAGGATCAAACTGAAGTGAAGGAGTGGGATAATGAGAGAAAACACTATTCGGATGATTCTGGACGCGGAGGTCCAGCCGGAGATTTTCGCATGGACATAACTGAAATCCGCCAGACTGGATTTATCTGTAAACTTGATAGTTTCCCAGACACCTGCCCTTTAGATAAAGATCTTTTGTCTGGGGAGATACCTGTCGAAGACATGTTGACAGATGAGAAGATAAAATACCTGTATGCTGTTCTGTGTCAGCGCCAAGAGTTAATGAATCTGGAAGCACTATATGAAAAATTAGATGAAGCACAAAGAAAGAAAGAAAGCCTTGAAATGGCAAACAAAGCAGAATCACTGAGTGACATGAAGGTCATAGCTATGACAATTACAGGAGCTTCTATAAATAACTCCTTGCTGAAGATGATAGATCCTGAAATAGTGATGGTGGAAGAAGCAGCTGAGATACTGGAACCCCAGCTTCTGGTTGCTCTGACAGCTCGACTCAAACATCTTATTATGATTGGAGACCATAACCAGTTACCCCCTCAGGTAGAACAGTTTCCATCTTTTTAAATAATTAGTAAAAAGCTCATTGGAGTTCATTTTAAACGTATTTTGTTTTAAAGGGACTGGATGAGTAATTTCAAGTGATCTTACATGCAAAGATGTTAATTGCCTAAATCACAATGGTATCCTTAAAACTTTTGAGGTTATCGGACTTTTTAACAATAATATACAAAACGCTTTTAATTGTTGAATACTTGCAAGCTTTTTTAAGTTTGAAAAATATCAATATTCACTAACTACAAATTAACAGAAAATAGATATTTGTTTAGAGTTTTAGAAACACAGAACTCTCTTCACTCAGTGAACAGTCAAAGGTTTAAAGGGTACCGTTGTAAACCGAACATTGCCCTTTTAGCATAGAGGGTCACTTGACATTACGCTTACAGTCCCTTTAAGATAAGGTTTATTGAATAGTTTATCCTAGGTTGAAACATACGAGCTGAAGAACAAATTCAACTTTGATGTGTCCATGATGCAAAGGCTGGTGCAGAACAACCTACCCTACATCCAGCTAGAAATGCAAAACAGGATGCGCCCTGATATCGCGGAACTGCTGAAGGATATTTATCCTAATCTTCTTAGTAATCATGGCAGAGTAGACTCTATTGAGCTTCCCGTAACTCTTACGCATTCATCAATATTCTGGACACACAAAGAGGAGGAAAAGGGGGATAGAAGTGCCAATAATCCTACGGAAGCTGAGATGGCACTGAGTCTTGCAACTCTTCTGGTTACCTACGGAGCTGAACCAAGGGACATAACTATTCTCTGCGCTTATCTGGGTCAAACAAGTCTGGTAAAAATTCAAATGCAGAGTTATCTCACTAAATACAAGGTTCTCAACAATACACCATTCATCATTTCAACTGTGGACAACTACCAGGGAGATGAAAACAAGATTGTTATTGTTTCTCTTGTTCGCGGGAATCCCAAAGGAACAGTTGGTTTTCTTAAAGATCTTCCTAGAAGATGTGTAGCTCAGTCCAGAGCCAAGTCATGTGTTATCTTCATAGGAAATGAGTTGACTATAAGGAAAGCTGACTGTTGGGATGTATTGATGGACAAGGTCCAACATCTAGGACCTCAGGTTTATATATCCTGTCCTCTCCACCCTGTAAACCAGCTGAGTTTGGACAGTGTAAAGAAGATACAAAATCTTCTTGAAACCCCATCAGAACTCTGTACTGTACTTTGTGGGAATCTGCATCTATGCTTGAACAAGGATCATGCATGCAAACTTCCATGTCAACCAAGGCATGAACACACCAAGTGCCGGACCAAGGTTGGCTATGTATGTCCGGACTGTGGCAGGGATGTTACCAAACGCTGCTATGACAAAGATCCTCAATGCATAGAAGTTATAGACTTTGTATATCCAAGATGTGGCCACCCTGATAAAAGGTATACACTAAAACTAAAATGATTTTCGATTTAATTTCAAGTAATCCTGCATTTAAATTGTTACACTCCCCATTCACAATGATAACATAAAAACCCCTGTTCGTCCGGTTTAGCTAAAATGACTGAGATATCATTATTTTTCTCTTAATATTGTCCTTATTGTCCTGCAGATAAAGATAATATTGTTAATTTCTAATTTTTAAGCTTATTTCATGAGTAAGGAAATATTAATCAACAAATTATTGGATTTTTTAAAATAGTTTTCTTTATTTAGGGCTTGCTTTAGAGGAGTAGAAGAAGAGGAAAGACTCGAGTGCAAACTTCCCTGTGTTGAGACAATGAGCTGTGGAAAACACAACTGTGTTAAACAATGTGGCGAAACTCATTCTCATGATAAATGCAGTAAGATGGTAGATACACAGTTTAGCTGTGGACATGCTGGGACGAAGAAGTGTTACAAGAAGGATTCAGAAGTGAAGTGCATGAAGGATATACTGAAACAGTTCCCCGCCTGTCCACACAGTGTCAAGGTTGAATGCAGTGCATCGATGAAAGAAATCAAGTGTAATACAGAGGTAAAGTTTATCTCTCAGTGCGGACACACAAATGTGAAGATGTGTTATCAAAGTGTTCTTGACGTAAAGTGCAAGAAAGTCTGCAATAAGATTCTGCTTTGTAACCATAAATGTGAACGAAGTTGTGGAGAGGATGTCTGTGGTTCTTGTAAAAGATGTGAAGAGCTGGCTATACAACAAATCAAGAAATCCAGAGAGCATGCACGGAGAGAAGTAAAGAAAATTGAAAACATGTTAAAATTCCGAAGAAATCCCAAGCCTACAAGTCAGGTTGTGGAGCCACTTCATGACGAGTTTGATGGAATCAAAGATTTTACTCTTAAGTACATCGTTCCTCTTCATAATTGGTTTCCCATAATAGAGAGAGTAGAACGAGTTGAAAACCTTCGTCTACAGAAAGCCTGGTGGAAGGCTAAGAGTGAATTGTTTGATCCTGTCAGAGATTGGAGTTATAAGTTCCATGGAACTGATAATAAGGCAGTTCAAAATATCTGCTTTGGTAGCGGGTTCAGACTGCCGAAGCAATCTAACCGGAATATGTTTGGGCAGGGAGTTTATTTTGCCAGTAATTCATCCAAGTCTGCTCAGGAAATATATACTAAGAAGAGTAACAAGCTGTTGGTGTGTAAGGTACTGCTAGGCAAATCTCTAGCTGCTACAACGGCCATGAACACCTTAACTCCAGAAGAGATGAAGAAGAAGAGATATGACTCTCTGTATGCTGCAGCTGGAACGTGTAATCTAAAGAATGATGAGTTTATTATATATGATCCAGCTCTAGCTCTCCCTGCCTACATAGTTCACTACAGAAATGGATCTCCAGGAGAAAATTCTTCTCTTCCGTTATTTAAATCCATCCCACCCCAGCAGATATTCAAGATTTCAACAGTATTCCCCAAGAAAGCCTACAATGACAAGAATCCATACGAGATACAATACCTGCTCGCAGAAACTGTGTTCTACAGAATACCTTCATCTATCAGGGACACAAAACCTAATATACAGTTTATAGATATTGTGATGAACCCAACTCTCAATGCCAAGTTTGACCGTATGAAGAGAGTGTTGAGTTGCGAGGAGACCCAGTTGTTCTACATGTTTAAGTTAGATGATCTCCAGGATGTGTTGAAGACCAACTTTAACACCACACATCTGAAGACGCTGGTTGGAGAAAAAGGATTGTATTTTGCAGATCGTCCCGAATCCAGTGATCAGTATAAACCTGGATGCAAATCTGTTCTACTGTGCAAAGTTCTGCAAGCTGGTTTGAAGGTAATGCAAAGATTTGTTTTCAGGGGTGTATTTTTTCTCAAAAAACAATTCCCCCCTTTTAAAATTAGTTTTTTTTTCACCAGAGTTAGGTATGTTTGTGGGGGGTTTGTCGTTGAATTACGGAAAATTAATGATTTTAAGGATGAGAAGAAAAAAACTTATTCTAAAAATATTGATTATTATGTATATATTAAATAAGTGAACATTCTCTTTTATTTAGAAAGTCCCCACTGGATGTATGCTGCCCAGTAATCTTTCCTCTTTGTCGGATAGAGTCCTTCCAGCCTTCGTAATCAACTTTACCGGGACCCTATAGTGGAAACCTATCCCATATTATAGAATATTAATATTCTAATATTCTTCGTAATCAACTTTACCGGGACCCTATAGTGTAAACCTATCCCATATTATAGAATATTAATATTCTAATATTCTTCGTAATCAACTTTACCAGGATTTTTAGTGCGCACTGCACAGTGCACACCTCCCATTTATTGCACGCTATATATTTTCAATATTGTTTAATGTAAATCATGCATGAAAATCCCATATTAGTGTCCCTTTAGTGCAAAATTTCGACATATATTGCACTGCACGCTATATTTGCAATATTGTGAAATACAAACCATGCGAGCATGAAAATCCCAGGGTTATTTTAGTGGTAACCCGTCCTTTAATATTGAGACATACTTTAAAACCTTTTAACCAAAAACTGTGTTACTAGAAAATTTACTTCGACAAAATGTATATGTTTCTATTTTTTCACATTTATGTAAAACGTTGAAAATGTCGTCTTCTAAAGTTAATAGAATTATTTGCTAAACTAATGACTTCTGTAAATTCATATTTTTACCAAGTTTAACTGACTTGAACGGGTAAAACATCACTTTACCAATGTTTGGACAAGAATCTTATTAGTGCAGTGTAAGAAGTTGACTAGTATTTTGAAAATTTATTTTATTTCTAAACTACATTGTTTGCTGTTAGAAGATACAATAAAATGTGAAATTATTTTTTTTTTACTTTTTGTAAATTGTTTTCTCCCCGTTAAGAACATTACGTAAGAATTAAAGTTGTAAAGTAAAAGATCATGAATACTACAATTTAGTCAAATGCATTTTTCAAGTCTAAATAACATCGACAAGTTAACATTTTATCGATTGAAAGGAACAGCGCGCCACAAAACCTGATTTTCTAATCCCTCTATCTTTGCAGTGCAACCCAATGTTGTAGACCTTAAGATTTTTCAAACTTGGAATTCGGTAAGAATATAGATCAAATAATCAAAGTTTGAAATATCAAAGGTCCACACCATCAGATTGCTGATATAGGCTTTAAAAAATTCGAGTTTGTGGCCAAAGACCTAATTCTTTCATTTAGTTAATTACATCATAAGAAATTTATGCAACGGGTGGGGGGATATTGAATTTATTACACTTTCTGTAAACTGAATTTTCTAGGAAACCTGCTCCTCCTGGAAGAATGTCATTAAAATAAATTTTCTAAGTTTCCTTTTTGGGTATACATATGTGTAGGTTTACATCAAGAAAAAAATTAACCATATGAAATTCTTGAAAAATATATTGAAATCTACAAAATTGCCATACCATATTCGTGAAACCCGGTTTCCGATATTGGTCTCAAAAAAATTCCCTGTATTTAAGTTTTTGGCTCTGGCATTAATTTCTATTCTTCTGAATTAAGTGGGTCCAACCTCCCACCTCCTCTATAAACTCAGGTTCAACACACAAAAGAGTTAATCTTGAGTCCTTGGGGGGGCAGCAATTCTTCTCCTCAATCTTGGAACAAAACCTTCCAGAACCAGGACTAGTTGGCGGAGCTCCATAATGTCTACAGGACTGCACGCAGTCAAGGGAACATAATATTAGGGAATATTTTATGTTTGTTACTTCTTTGTTACTGCAACGCAATTGCTAAGTATATTATTATGCCATATAGGTCATTTCTAAGTGATCCTCTATTGTTAGAGCGGTATGTCCGTTTTTCAACCTGTCTGAGCTGAACTAATTGAGTTATTGTCCTGTTGAAAAGGATTATTTTACATTGTTGGTTCAAGTAAAAATGTATTTTTATAGAATTCAACACTTTCAGATAGAAATATCACGATATCTTCCTCAGTGTTGCTCAGATAATGGTTCAAGGGTTGCCACTCTATGAATTGAGGGTCACGTTAAATTTGATCAAGAGCCTCCACAATAATCTGAGATGCAGAACTTACAGCAAATTAAACGAATTGGATCATTTAGAGAATCTGAAAAACAAACGATTTTTTATGGATCAGTCGGAGTTTGGACCAAAAATGAACAATTTCTTTTTTAAAAAGAAATATTTTATTTTCACTGATTAAAAAAAAATGTTCTTACACTTGAAACCAATTTAGTTTTTTTTTACTGAACAAGCGAACTTTTGAAAAACGATAGTTTTTTTTACAAAAAGAACATTTTTTAAACGAACTTAATAAAAAGGTTGTGTTTTACATAACAATTTTTTCAAACAAAAAATAATGTACTTCAAATGAACGAATGATTTTATTAAACGAACGATTTTACTGAACAAATGATTTCACTGAACAAAATATTTTACTGAACAAATGATTTTACTGAACGAATGATTTTATTGAACTAATGATTTTACTGAACAAATGATTTTACTGAGCAAAAGATTTTACTGAACAAATGATTTCACTGAACAAATTATTTCATTGAACGAATGATTTAGTTGAACGATCTTTCAGTTTGAAAACAAACATAATTGGTGGAAAATAAAGATAATTCTAAAAAACCTGAGTAACTCAGGGTTGCTCGATCCTATTATTATTTTAATTCAATATTTTTTCAATTTTAATAGATATAATTTACTACTTAATTTATTACTTTTAATTCCGGACCATGTGACCATCACTCCAACCAATGGCAGTGCAGTATTATTGTCACGTGGCTCCATCTGTATCACATGACCAGTGTATGCATTGTCATTGGAGAGAGTTCTGGTCACATGACACGGACGTATATCTTACAATCTTACATCTAAACATTTTGGTATAATTTTGACATAGTTTTATGTAAATTTCTCGAGACAGGAACATCAGATAGATGTCTTGTAGGTATCGTTCAACTCCTGAGATTCTCAGGTTTCTGCCTATATCCCCTTTCATTATTCCTTTACAGTCCCTTTAATAAAACAAAAAAATTTCTAAATTTGAATGAAATTATTCATATCCCTTGAAATTTTGTACGCAAAAAATAGGCGACCACGTCTAAATAATTGTCAATTTATTCCGAGTCTTTCTAGTTATGAATGTATAATAAGAAATAACACCTCTAAACAATTTTTACAGAGCCGCAAACAATATTATTTGAAATCTTCGTTTTGCCAAGACTCTGTGAAGACCAATATAACCTTCAATACTCTCAATAGTAGTAATTATTTGTTATTACGCAGGATCTGTCAATAATTTGTTATTACGTAGGATCTGTTAATTATTTATTATTAAGTAGGATGTGTTAATATATTTGTTATTACGCAGGATCTGTCAATTATTTGTTATTACGTAGGATCTGTTAATTATTTATTATTAAGTAGGATGTGTTAATATATTTGTTATTACGTAGAATCTGTTAATTATTTTATATTAAGCAGAATCTATTAATTATTTGTTATTACGAAGGATCTGTTAATTATTTATTATTAAGTAGGATATGTTAATTATTTGATATTACGCAGGATCTGTTAATTATTTGATATTACGCAGGATCTTTTAATTATTTGTTATCACGTAGGATCTCTTAATTATTTGTTACTACGCAGGATCTGTTACGTTAATTATTTGATATTACGCAGGATCTGTTACGTTAATTATTTGATATTACGCCGGATCTGTTAATTATTGGATATTACGCACAGGGTTTCCAACGTAATAGATTATTCTCTTACGCGTAATTACGTGCAGTTACGCGTAATAATTTTCATTTCGTGTAATTTCGCAGGATTACGCGTAATTGGGGAAATATCCATTTCGCGAAATTACGGCGTAATTTCGCGTAATTTCTACAACGTAATTTCGCGAAATTAAGTAATGATTACGCGTAATAAGCGAAACTATAATTACGCGTTATTACGGCATAATTTCGCGTAATTTCTACAACGTAATTTTGCAAAATTTCGTAATGATTACCCGTTATAGGCGAAACTATAATTACGCGTAATTACGGTGTAATTTCGCGTAATATCTATGAGGTAATTTCGCGAATAATTAGCGAAACTTCAATTTCGCGAAAGTACATAATAATTTTGGGTAATTTCTATAAAGTAATTTTGCGAAATTTTGCAATAATTACATCTATGAGATTTTGAAGATTTAATTTTTAATTTAAATAAAACAACTAACTTACAAGGAAAATAATGTCACGCAAGTTGAATCAGAAATTTCAGCCAATACTATGTTGGTTGATGTAATTTTTACGTTCGACAACTAAAAAGTTTAACAAAGGGCCAACAATTTATTTTTATCAAAAAAATACATAATCTATAAAGGAATTGAGTCTTTGCCACTAGCTCAACTTTTCTAATCCTTATATCAATTAGGAACCTAATGGTGGAAACCTTTTATATTTCAAACTTTGATTATTTAATCTAACAGAATTCATAGTTTGAAATATCTAAGGTCTACGGCATTGGGTTGCAAAAATATAGGGATTAGAAAATAAAATTTTGTGGCAAAGACTCAATTCCTTTTTCAATTTTTGACGACTTGTTAATATTTCAACCTACTTTCTCAAGTTTATCTTCCTTGCTTGAAAAAATGTAAAATCGTCAAAATATGTTTGACATGGTTGTAGCGGGTCTTACAATACTTTCCCGCTATAATTATTTCTGAGAATTAATATGTACTTTTTTATTACGGAATTGTTTCGTATTACGTAATTTCGCGTAATTACGCATTAATTACGCGAAACTCGACTTTCTTTCATAAACGTAATAAACGCGTAATTACGCGTAATGCTCCTGCGTAAGTGAAAGAAAGTGTTACACGTAATTACGACTGGAAACCCTACGCAAGACCTCTTAATTATTGGATATTACGCAGGATCTATTAATTATTTGTTATTACGTAAGACCTGTTAATTATTGATATTACGCAGGATCTGTTAATTATTTGATATTACGCAGGATATGTTAATTATTGATATTACGCAGGATCTGTTAATTATTTGATATTACGCAAGACCTCTTAATTATTGGATATTACGCAGGATCTATTGATTATTTGTTATTACGTAAGACCTGTTAATTATTTGATATTACGCAGGATCTTATAATTATTTAATATTACGCAGGATCTATTAATTATTTGATATTACGCAGGATCAAGAAAAATTTCATTCTTGCATATTTGTAACAACAATTTTCTCTTTAAATATTCTATAGAAAAAGAGCTTTGAAATCTGTATACAATATAAACATGTAAGTTTGCTTTGCTCACATTTGGATGTAAAATGAAGATAGTTAACGAGGTCACAAAGGCATACTAGCTAGTTGTTCAGCATACAAATTATGGTATTGCTATAGGGAGTGTCCACGAGTTTCAAAAATGCAGGGAAAAATAAAAAATAAATTATGAATGGGATCGCAACGAATTAAAAAATACAGAAATGCTTGTGCAGGACAAATTTTGAAATTAATTGAATCTTTGCCAAACTTTGCAACCTAATTAATGTACATATTTTGATCTCTCATTCAAAATCCGTCAAAAAAGCGTAGGAGACTCTTCAAATTGATAATTTTCATAGCTTTCTGGATTTCTTCGATCTTGCTCATTACGGTTTTTCTGATGGATTCTTTGTGTATATACATATGCAGCCAGACATGCTTAGCTCAAGTTAGTTTGGCGTGAGATGTATAATATAGTTTATTATACTAAAACGGATTGTGGGATATTGGAATCAAATTACACGTCTTACAGTTTATCTTGTAAATAAATACTTGGTCCGACTGAATGTTAGTAAGGTTAGATATAACCTATAAAAAGTAGTTTACAGGGTGTCCCGCTTATCATGAAAATTTCTCTAGTTGAGAATACATGTCATTCTCCTTGAATATATTTCAGCATATTTTGTTAACCTCATTTTGCAAAAATGATTCCAAGAACAAAAAATACCTTTTGTTCAAGGGAGTATAAAGGGGGGGACAAGGGGGGCAGTGCCTCCCCTAGACCTGTTCAGAATTGGGGGTTAGAGGGGAACCCCGCCCCCTCTCCACAAACAAATATATCTTATAAATGGGAATTCTAAAAATTGAATTTTGAAAAAAAAAATCTAAAAATTCTAAAAAATATAGCCCATTCGGTTCAGCCGTTTGACCAGCCATAGCGAACATATAAATGAAAGAAGAGCTTTATTACATAGAATTCAAATTGTACTTCTACTTTTTTTTCAAAGTTTCTCATTTTCAAAAATGTCTTTTACTATCTCTAGTTTAAATACAAAAATAACATGTATTAAAATGTAGATTTTTAGAAACATGTTTTTTTCTGCTAGTTTTGTTTGAACGAGATATGAAGTAATACTTGCAAGGTAATTAGACTGTATGTGTAGCTTTAAAGTATCTTATACCTATGCCATATATCCAAGAAGCCAAATGTAGAACTTTGATTTTGAATTTAACCAATAAGAATATAAAAAAGAGGGTTGCTGGAAACCAATAAGAATATAAAAAGGAGGTTGCTGGGAACCAATAAGAATATAAAAAGAAGGTTGCTGGGAACCAATAAGAATATAAAAAAAGGAGGTTGCTGGAAACCAATAACAATGAAAAAGGAGGTTGCTGGAAACCAATAACAATATAAAAAGGAGGTTGCTGGGAACCAATAAGAATATAAAAAGAAGGTTGCTGGGAACCAATAAGAATATAAAAAAAGGAGGTTGCTGGAAACCAATAACAATGAAAAAGGAGGTTGCTGGAAACCGATTTTTAACTTTAATAATTTATTTAAGTTTAAGGATGTGGGCACAAGCTCATGCATACAAATAAAACGATATATTAATATTTCTATTTCAAGTTTTATTATGAAGGTCTTTCTATTAATTTGTTTTGCTCAAGATCGATTAATAGTTATGTACCCCAACGTTTTGTGTTGCGCCGTTGTCTTAAAACTTAACCATGGGTAACCCTATAAACCACACTGAACACTTATTTTACGCGGGCTGATCTTGCTTCCTGTTTTTCTTTAGGTTTGGTTAAATGATAATGATTTTTGTTAATCGCATGTTGTGTTGACTTGTAGAAAACTGGATTTTCAAACATAAATGAGTTATGTTCTTTTGTCCTTTTCTCAGTCAGTCAAAAATAGTAAAAAGAAAGAAAATGAGGAATTTTTCCTAAAACAATTGATTTTTTAACTTGTATATCCTCAATTCCGTCTATCTTTTCCTTTCTTGTTTTGTATTCTCTGGGTTCACTGGCTCAGTAAAAAATTCTCTCTCATATTCTCCAACTTAACTTTTCCTTACTTACTAGTGCTATCCTTTCTGCACTTTAATTGGATCATCCTGTGTAAATGCCATGTTCATCAGTGCCCATAATTTGTCTATTGCTTGAAAAAATCGCAATACTCCGGCCAGAATATATTCCCCCATCCTTCTTGTAAATAAAATTTTTTGAATTGTGTAATGAAAGACAAGACATCAATAACAATATAAAAAGGAGGTTGTTGGAAACCAATAACAATATAAAAAGGAGGTTGCTGGGAACCAATAACAAAAAAAGGAGGTTGCTTGGAACCAATAACAATAAAAAATGAGGTTGCTGGAAACCAATAACAATGAAAAATGAGGTTGCTGGAAACCAATAACAATGAAAAATGAGATTACTGGAAACCAATAACAATGAAAAATGAAAAATGAGTTTGCTGGGAACCAATAACAATGAAAAATGAGGTTGCTGGAAACCAATGACAAGGAAAAAGGAGGTTGCGATTGCGACATGAATTGAGTTATCCACAATGGGATGAGACTTCAAGTCATTTAAAGGGAGTGTTCGCGAAAAATTAATGGGGGTATACGCTTACATCAAAAAATTATCGATGGTGATCGCTAATAATCTTACTTCTATCTGTTACGTCTATAAGGAGAAAATTGTTATAACAACCCATACGGAAGAACGTAGCGTCCATACAAAATTCTAAAATTGCAACATTTGATTCGGATTGTAAAAAAATCAATTTAATCATTCAGATATTACAAAATTAAATCATGGATAATTTTTCGATGCACTTGTATAGTTAATATTTCATCATATTTTTTATTTTTATGATATTTTACTTTTGAAAACATTTATTCCTGTTTCGAGGAATTTTTATAATGAAGACGACATTTTCATATTTTCCAGGAATGTTCGAAAATCCAGAGCCAACCGTGAAAACAAGTTGTAAGCTAAATATTACTTTTTAAAAATATCAAAAATATCATGAAATAATAACTATATACGAAAGCGTCAAAAAATTATTATTGATTATATAGGTTGTAATATCTGAATGATTCATTTGGAATTAAATTGATTTTTTATAAGATCCTTGTCGAATCTTGCAACTTTCAGAATTTGTTATAAATACGCCAACATTCACTCAACGCGTCATCCAAAATTAATTATGTGCTTTAAGAATTCTCAAAGGGCCTGTAACCGTAATTTCAGTGCAAATATTTACAATGCTATCCTTGAAACCTTTACCTGACTATTAATGTAGAAGATATTGTCGTTTTTCCAGACGTATTATTGGTTAATTCTGGTAATTCCTACATATTTTCTTGCAGTAGAGAGTCACTTTTGTAGTGAAACCACAATTGAAAATAACCAGTTTTCAAAATTATAAAAATTTATATCTTATTAATACTTGATCAGAAAAAGCTTTTAAAAGTACCGCTGTGAATCGGACATTGCCATCTTTATTTGGAGGGTCTGGGTATAGTCTCATCAATATTAAATCTTTATTTGTTTCTTTATAAATGTTTAAATTTAGTGGAAATGGTTACAACAGTTCTGTACGTATCTGCAGCAATGTTCTTTATTCTCTGTGTAGCTTTCCTCTTTATAAAGGAGTTTGTTCAGTAATCTTATTATCAGGTAATTATTGTAAAGCAAATTGATGGAAATATCCTGTTTTTCTTTCTGTAAATACATGCTTTTACGGTTTTCTGTTTAAAAATGACGAACAAAATGAAACTTTAAATAAAAAACTTATCAGATAATTTCGCTAATTTTCATCCCGAGTCCGACATAATCTAAAATTCTTTTTTAATTTATTAAATTTCTTTGTTTTACATATATATTTTATACTAGATAAAGGGCCGGCGTTGCCCGTGGAAAAAAAATGTTAAAAAAATATTAAAACTTTTTTTTTGAAAACATACCACCCCCAGGCTACCCATGAGTGTCAACAAAAAATGTCAGCCCATTCCGTCCAGCCGTTTGGCCGGCTATAGGCAACATATATATATATATATATATATACGAATGTCTTGTTTTACTTACATATATATAATATATGACATGAGAAACACTAAAGGACGTCAAAATTCACCATTATTTCGTCCGACCACAACTTTTTTCGTCCGTCATTGTTTTAATTATTTTATTAGAATTTTGAGCCACGTCATGTTGTTTATAATGGTATAGAATATTTTATCAAGTTTTTATATAGTTGTAGATGTAGAACGTCCAGCCCAAGTAACCTACAAGTTGCAGTTTAGGAGTAAAATAAGAAATCAACAGAAAAGTGCGCGGTCCGGACGAAAAGTAGGTGAGGTCCGGACGAAAAGTAGGTGAGGTCCGGACGAAAAGTAGGTGAGGTCCGGATGAAACATACGAAGTTGAGTCACTCATATTTTCCGTTCTTAAATATCGTTTTATTTTTGAAACAAAATGCATTTTAAACAAAATGAATCCGTATTGAATAACATAACATTTCCTAAATTCGAAAAAAAAACACGTTTTATATGGCATAAACAATACGGTTAAAAGCACAGAAGCATTGCCGCGCCCGGACGAATTAAAGTGCGGTCTGAAGAAATAATGGTGAATTCTGACGTCATTGTGGAAAACTTTTTCTCTTCGCAATATAAACGATAAAAGTTCGTACCGATGAAATCCTTCCAGTCATTTCGTGTATTCAGTTGAATAAATTGGATAGACTTGATCGGTTCAGCCGTTTTGACGTTTATTGGATACAAACAGACAGACAGACAAACAGACAAGCCAAATTTATATATAGATAAAGCACTTGTTGCTAGCTTTAGTTTTTGAGAAATAGTTGGCTAAACCCTCATTGAATTTTGCTTGAGAGCGTGATACCTTTAAATCGCAGTGCAAATTACATAAAGACAGAAAATTAGACCACATTTTGAAAACCCTGAGACTATAGTAGTTTTTCGGTTTTAGATGTGATACTACAAAATCATATTTACGAAGTAATGCCGCTTGGAATAAAGTTATCATTTAATTCCCACGTTTATTGGGACACCCTGTAACAACATCAAGTACACTTAGGATTATCTAAATGTCGTCTTCCTATTGCACAGCGCTATAGATCCCGCTGTATAAAGGTTTTATGAAATGTAAAAGGTCAATGTAACTTTGTCCATTTGTGATTTGGGGATATTTAGAACAAAACGGTAGGATTTTAAAAAGAAAATTTGGCCATTAAACAAACAAACAAGCAAAAATAATCTAAATATATAATTATTACCCCCTGCCCTGATCTTAACATAATAAGATAGAATCCTGATTTCCTTTATTAGTTGGTGTTCTCCTCAATATTGGAAATCATTGCTTAAACATCAATATATGTATAGTACTGCAGGGTTACCTATAAAGAAAAGATTAGATATTATTTGTATTCTATTCAAATCAGATTTGAAAGATGAGAAGATCAATTTCTAAGATAGCAGACGACTAAAAACTGTTGATAAATAAGCTTTAATCAGCGTTAAAAACAAGTAAAATTGAAAAATTAATTCAGTATTGATATTAATATATATACCGTACATTTTTCCATTGTAAATGGCACAATAAGTAAAAATGCAACTGTGTGTGGTTCCAACCTGATCCTCATTCCAGAACTAAATTTAAAAAGTACACAGCGTACTTACAAATGGAAAAAAGGGCAATGAAGTAAAAAAAACCTTCTTTTTTTAGGTTGCGTCCTTCTCTGCTAGCAGTTAAAACATTAAGTAAGTGTCGTTAATTAAGTTTCTTACTATACAGGGTTACTCAAAAAAATGAGACTTCAGAAACGACTATACATCATTTCCTGGAACTGTAAACTTTTTCCTTTTTTGGCAAAGCAATAAATAAGCCATTAAACAACTATCTTGAAGGCAGAAGACTTAATCCAACCTTGGAATCATCATGTAGACTTAATCCAACCTTGGAATCATCATAATTATAAAGTTTTAGATCGTCTTCATAGTCTTATCCTTTTTGGGTAACTCTGTAATTGTTGCACTTTCTTCCCCTTGAATTCACAAATCAAACCATCATACAGGGTGTCCCACATCTAGATCGTCAATGGGTCTGAATTACGATTTTCGGGACTTATCAGAAAATTAAAGAACTATGAATCATTTTGAAAAATTGAATAAGGCTGGTACAAAAATTTTCTTGCGAAAAAAGCTAGGTTTTTCGAGTATTATGTGTTTATTTCATAGCTAAAACTTGAAGAGATAATCCAATATGATATGGGACGCGCTCTGTATGTAAAACTACTGCAGCAGAAGAGCTTTTATATAGCTATGAGGCCGAATTTAATGAATTTGAACCGGTTAAAATTCTTTAAACAAAGGAGAATTTTCTTGCAAACATTCGACTCTTTTTCAAATTCTTAGTTCTCCGCCCTACCTTTACCGTCCAGGGTATTCTTATTTCTAATTATCACGAATGTTTAAGAGTAAAATAGAAAAGCGTCTTTTGGTAAATTTTGAAAGTATTTAAAATGGCAGACCAAATAAAATGAATTAACGACGCCTTGTATTTCTGAGAAATATGAATAAATAAAATTAAAGCTAGAATTTGAAATCTAAAGTTTTCAACATGATTAATAACAATACAGATAGAACACTGGATGTCGTCTTTTCAAGATTTAGGGGGTTTACGTTCACAGTAACCCTTAGGCAGAGGCCCATGAAGGAGTTACCCGCATGCTCTCTCTCTGCCTTGTAACTCAACACGGCATACGTACAACTTATTAGGGCTTTTGCCTCAGGGTTACTGTGAACGAAAACAACCTAAATCTTTAAAAGACGACATCTAGTGTTCTGTCTGTATTGTTTTTAATCTATGTTTTAATAATATAAATCGATTTTCAATATTTTTTTATTTTAGAGAAATCCAGATATCAGAGGATAATCTCAAGGGTAGACGATCCTTCAACCCTTTCATTAACAGGGTTCCAAGGTATTCATTAACTCAATCATTCAATCATTCAACTACATTCTTTCATTCATCCTTTCATTCATAGTTATTCTTTCATTTATTCATTCATTCATCTATATTCTTTCTTTCATTTATTTATTAATTTATTAACAGGATTCCCAGATATTCATCCTTTAAATCATCCTTCATTTCCTTAATAAGGTACCCGGGTATTCATTCATTCATTCATCCTTTAACAGGGTTCCCAGGTATATATCCTTTCATGTATTCATCCTTCCTCCTTCCTATATTCGTTCATCCTTTCATTCATTAACAGGGTTCTCAGTTATTCATCCTTTCATTCACCTATATATTTTTATTCATCCTTCTACCCTATGCTTTCTTACATTCATAATTTCATTTTCTCTTTCTATCATTTATAGATTCATTTGTCAACGTAATTTCAACTGATTCCTCATTTACAGAGAATTACTCTGATGTGAAATGTGAATTCTAAAGAGTGTGGAAGATATCTTTATAAGAGTTTAGTACTTTTAATTTCCTAAAGCTTATATCTTTAATTTTTGATCATTCAATGGTTTGAGTTTTAATGTTTTAAATTAGATTTGCTAATCTTCAAATGTTAGGTCACTTAAAATTACATTAACAGTCTCTTTTATAATCCATATTATTAATGTTTAGAAAGGGATTAACTCCCTTTAATAATCCATATTATTAATGTTTAGAAAGGGATCAACTCCCTTTAATAATCCATATTATTAATGTTTAGAAAGGGATCAACTCCCTTTAATAATCCATATTATTAATGTTTAGAAAGGGATCAACTGCAGTTTATCCTGGATCATTCTCTCGCCAGACTGTGTGAAAAAAAAACAATTTTATAAAATTATTGAAATTCGTCAAAATTTTGAAAACATATTCGTGTATTTTGATTTTTTGTTGGTGACAACAATTATTAAGAAATCACCTGTGCTTCTGTAATATGTAAAAATTAAATTTTACATTTGAAAATTTAAATATCTTTTTACACTGTTAATCTTTACATCTTTTAATTTCTGCTTTAAAAAAATGGCAACCGCTGATGAAAAATCTAAGGAATTTTAAACAAAAATTGATAAATTTTTATCGCACAAATTATTTTTAGAGTTTTATTTTCTAAGAATTTACATAAAAACTGGCAAAAAAATGTCAATGGCAACTATAGAAAAACTATATATACAAGTGTAACAAGAAAACAGTTGAATGATTATCGTCTTCTTTTTAACTTTTTATTTGAAATTATTGTAATTTGTAAATCATATCTAAAAAATTGTCCTGAGCTGGCAACTGTTGGTTTGAATAATTTTAATCACGATTTAACTTTAGGATAGCTATCTTTTGATTATAATCACGATTTAACTTTAGAATAGCTATCTTTTAACTATAATCACGATTTAACTTTAGGATAGTTATTTCTTAATTTTAATCACGATTTAACTTTAGGATAGCTTTTTTAAATTTTAATCACGATTTAACTTTAGGATAGCTTTTTTTTAATTTTAATCACGATTTAACTTTAGGATAGCTTCTTTAAATTTTAATCACGATTTAACTTTAGAATAGCTATCTTTTAATTATAATCACGATTTAACTTTAGGATAGCTATCTTTTAACTATAATCACGATTTAACTTTAGGATAGCTTTTTTTAATTTTAATCACGATTTAACTTTAGGATAGCTATCTTTTAATTATAATCACGATTTAACTTTAGGATACCTTCTTTTAATTTTAATCACGATTTAACTTTAGGATAGTTATCTTCAACCCCAGACTGGGTACGAATACCAAATCAAATAAAGAATGAAAAAATCTGCAGATTAACAAAAGATTGAGATCAAACATTGATCTTGATGTTACCAGCTCTGAGCTGGGAACTCTTGAATAGTTTATATCGGGATTAATGCTTGATCTATTCTTTTTCTTAATCTCGAGATTAAATAATGCTTGTTCTCTTCTTGTTATTAATCTCCAGATTAATTAATAGATCGTGATTACGGATATTTCATTCTAAAGTTTTCAGCTTATATTTTAGAAACTTACATTGATATTAATAATGGAAATGAATTCTGTGAATTTTCACCATTTGACCCTGTTTTTGTCCTCTAAATCGATTTTTTAGTATTTCTATACTGTGGATTTTATTGATATTCCAACAATGAAAGATTCCTCAATAATAATAACATGTTTAACGTTCTTACATATCTACATTTTTATTAATACTTATTTTAAACATTTACATGTTTTAAGAGGATCATTATATATATATTATATAAATAAAATGATTAAGTGAAAGCCGGAAAACGTACGAAATTCCGCTAAGTAAATTAATACTCAACCATCTCTAAACAAGTGCCCTATACAGTATACATAAACTGAGTTTTTGCCACAAACTCTGATTTCCTAATATATCTTTAATCTTTGCAACCTGATGTCGCAGACCTTTTATGTTTAAAATCACGAATTCTATCAGATCAATAAATCCAAGTTTGAATTATCAAAGGTTTAGACCATCAGGTTGCAAAGATATAGGGATTAGAAAATTGCGGCAAAAACTCTGTTCCTTGCTGCACTAAAAGAAAGAATAAAAAAAAGTTCATTGGAAAGTTTTCTGGTTCTCACGATGTATTAAAATATCTTTATAAATGAATATATCATCATATTTGTAAATGATTTTGGAAAAAATATATTATTCCTGCTTAGAATTTAGTAGCAACGACTAATTCTTTCAGGCTTCAAATGCTGCACATTTGATTCTTTCTCGTCAGAAAGAGTATTTCAGAAAATCTTCAAATATTTTCGCATCCGAATTTCAAGTAACCCTCCTTACAAAGATGGACAATGAACAATTCACAACGGTACCCATCAAACATTAACTGGTCTATAACGTGGATGCTTTTCTGAAGTAAAAATGCACAAGTTACTCTAGAACAGAAACCACAATTGAAAATGATCATTTTTTAAATATATACACACTGATATCTGGTGACCTGAGGATTGCTTGAAATTTAAGAAAAAAAAAAACGAATTTTGGAGGGAAAAAAATATTGATTTTTGAAGCAAAACAATAAAATTTTTTTATCCTTTGTTCCTTCTCGCTCTCCCATGGGCTCCCTCGAAAAAATTTCAGCCAATTCGGTCCAGCCGTTGGCTGTTCATTGCTGACATATTTATATGAGTGAAAAGCTTTATTTTATAAATGAAAAAAAATAAAAGAATAAACTAAATTTAGTTTAGCGTGGACAAAGTGTATGATACATGTACAATAAACCCCCCGGACCGGTGTGCACACTTCTTAATTGTTTTATATCTAGACAAAAAGTGAGATTTCAAGGTTTGTCTTCCCCGGTCTGAACAATCGGAACATTAAAGCGTAAAGTTAGCAAACAATATAAAACATTTCTACAAGGATTGCATTCAAATATAAACCAACAAGAGTAGAAATAAAGAGAGGGGTGGTAGTTTATACTTTATATTTTAAAGGGACATGTAAGCGTAATTTCAAGTAACCTTTTATTCAAAGATGACAATGTCCGATTCACAACGGTACCCATAAACGCATGACACATAAACCATGCGATGTGAATAGAAATAAGGAAATAATAGGTTTTGCTTACATTGTTTACATAATAGGTTTAGCCCAGAAACTGGTTTCATTGAAAACAATAACAAAGTTTAAACGGGTCTCGGTATTCTTTAGCTGTGCACCAAAATCTGTAGAATTTGATTTTAAATATTTTTATAAAAAAAAATGAAAAGCAAATTTATGAACTTTTATTGATTAACTTTTTTAAATAATATTTTTCCCATAACTTTTAAAAATCTAGAATTTTCTTTAAAAAGTGAAAACTTTGATCTTAAAAGTGAATACTTTGATCTAAAAAGTGAATACTTTAATCTAAAAAGTGAATACTTTAATCTAAAAAGTAAATACTTTAATCTAAAAAGTGAATATTTTAATCTAAAAAGTGAATACTTTGATCTAAAAAGTGAATACTTTAATCTAAAAAGTGAATACTTTAATCTAAAAAGTGAATACTTTAATCTAAAAAGTGAATACTTTAATATAAAAAGTGAATACTTTGATCTAAAAAGTGAATACTTTAATATAAAAAGTGAATACTTTCATCTAAAAAGTGAAGACTTTGATCTAAAAAGTGAATACTTTAATCTAAAAAGTGAAAACTTTGATCTAAAAAGTGAATACTTTAATCTAAAAAGTGAATACTTTAATCTAAAAAGTGAACATTTTAATCTAAAAAGTGAATACTTTAATATAAAAAGTGAATACTTTAATCTAAAAAGTGAAGACTTTGATCTAAAATGTGAATACTTTGATCTAAAAAGTGAATACTTTAATATAAAAAGTGAATACTTTAATCCAAAAAGTGAATACTTTAATCTAAAAAGTGAATACTTTGATCTAAAAAGTGAATACTTTAATCTAAAAAGTGAATACTTTGATCTAAAAAGTGAATACTTTAATCTAAAAAGTGAAGACTTTGATCTTAAAAGAGATAATTTGAGTAAATATATTTGACCAGGGAAATGGAATCCCAATCTTATTTATATACGAATTATATGGTTACAATTAATAAACCGAACAGAATGATTTGTTTATGAACCGGCCATTTTAGCCAAAGGTAAAAAGTGTTAGATAGTTAATCCTTTTTGCATCTTTGGTAAATCCAATTAAGTTAATTATTTCGGAGATCTCTAAGGTGCAGCGATCCCAAACAAGTGCAAAAAATTTGGAATCTGCTTTTTCCACGGGTTAAGAACTTAATCACGTCAAATGTAAAGTTTACTTTATCTTATTCAAAAGTTCTGACCACAAGTTCTTGACAAATGTTAAAAGAAACGAAAAAATCGAACAATTTAATTCTAAAAATATAGTTAACCCTTTCCATATTGGTGTCCCTGGTACAGGGTGGTTAGGGGCGTACTCTGGAATTTGTCTGGGGGGGGGTACATTATGTTGTTGGTGCCCCTGTCCCAGGAGTTATGTAAGAAATTTGTCCTGACCAAAATCTGGCATTGACCCTGCCTAACTGCCTTGTGTACTATTCAAACAAAACTACAATGTCATCTTGCTCCAATGTTGTTACTTGTTTTGATAAAAAGCCTAATATCTTTCAGAGCTTAAATAAGGCGCGTAATTCTTAATATATTCACAGTGCACCGTATTAAGGCTTTAAACTGTCGGCTGTAAAACGACCTAAACTCATTGAATATGACAATCTTAAAGTTGAATTAAATCTTCTGCCTTGAACATTTATTCCTGTAATGACTTGGTAAAGAAGTTGCAGGGAATCATGAATATAAGAAAATTATAAATGCTGTACAACCGTATCTGAAGTCTAATCCTTTGTTGGGTAGCCCTCATTCACAACGGTACCCACTTCACATTTATGGCAAGGAGAAAGATATCGCAGTTTTTCAATCTTAAAAGATACAATTTTTACCAACGTCCTTCTTTTTATCTCTAATGCATTAATTCGCAAGTCATTTAAAAGAAATTAAAAACTGGAAAATTATTAGTTTTTAGCAATAACAAAGAAATCTTCCTCATTGTTGCCTTGATGTGAATCTGGCATGTACCTTGTTTTCCGGGGTTTACCTGGTTATCTAGGGTACTCCAGGGTTCTCGAGGGTTTCCCTGGTTCTCTAGGGTTCTTGAGGGTTTCCCCTGGTTCTCCAGGGTTTCCCTGGTTCTCTAGGGTTCTCGAGGGTTTCGTTTGGTTCTCCAGGGTTTCCAGGGTTCTCCAGGGTTCTCCAGGGTTCTCCAGGGTTCTCCAGGGTTCTCCAGGGTTTCTCTGGTTCTCCAGGGTTCTT